TGTGTTGCTGGCCTGGCTGCCGCTCTACTACCAGCAGCATAGCCACTAACACTGCCCCATACATTGCTGCTACCCAGGGTACTCAAGCATCCAGTTAAGTCTCTAGGAGGAAGGGTATTCTCAGTCCTTCCTACTGAAGTTGTTTTACTTTGCATTAGATAATTAGTTACTCATTGGGCCATAGTGAGAGTGTTAGCATGATTCTGTGTGCTAGGGGTTAGGGCACATATGTGCAAACAAGGTGCCACTGTATATTTAATATATTTTGCATCCTGGTGCCACTGTACATTTAATATATTTAAAGAGAAAAATATTTGACTCACACTGAGCCCATTATCTAACAGTAAGCCTGGTCCAAAACCAGAGCCATCATGTCTCCATATAGACGGATATGTTCCAATCCTGGAACATTAATTCAGACCCAGTTAGCCTGGCCAGTGCCTCACCACTTACACATTTTGAATCTGATGTTTTAGCTTGGCCCTGATCTTTAGCATTTTTGAATGAAGCCAAAACATCTCTCAGAGAAACTCACTGACATCTGTTGAATCATTTCTTAATACAATTAAACCATAGAATCATCATTCTGCATGAATGAATGCATTTTGCACATTAGTTCAGGTTTCTTTCAACCAAGTCTGCAAGCCTTCAACAAAACTCATCTCTAAATTTAGAGAAATTAGCAAAACCATAACAGATGGGCTAGTTGTGCATGGCTCTACACTTGGTTGTGAACATTTAGCACAGATATACTGCTGACGTGAAGAAGTCAGAAAGATCCTGGCCTTAAATACATGGTATTGATGATAGGTTGGCTTTTTCAGGCAGCAGATCCTAAACATCTAATTTCCGGGGGAAAGAAAATCATCGTCATAACTTCCTGCAAAGTGGTGCCTTTATACTGAGTTCTTTTTGTTCTGTTTTGGTTCTTACTCCTTTCTAAAGTACACAGAAGTGTCATCCTTTGCTTGCACAGGGAGAAGCTATTTTTCCAGAGTAAGGTTCCTTTTCCCATTGCTATGTTCCATAGTAAAACTATAATTTGATCTCAAGTTCTTTCCTCTCCCCATAGCTATTTTGGGTTTTCAGCATCAAAAGAAAATCTGAAGTTACTACATGTCATTTGGCACAGGACATTATCCCTCACATGTCAAAGATATTAGAAAGACATACAGGTTGTCTGAAGCAGGAAGGCTGAAGCAGTAGTCAATTGGAGTACTGAGCCCAGTTCTGGGCACCGCACTTTAAGAAGGATGTGGCCTGCCTTGAGAGGGTTCAGAGAAGGGCCACTCGCTTGGTTGGAGGACAACAGGGCAGGCCCTATGAGGAGAGGCTGAGGGACCTGAACCTGTTTAGCCTCAGCAAACAGAGGCTGAGGGGGGATTTGGTGGCTGCCTACAAACTCGCTAGGGGAGATCAGCAGCAAATAGGAAGGGTCCTAGTCCCCACAGCAGCACCTGGGGTGACAAGGAACAATGGCCAGAAGCTGCTGGAGAATAGGTTCAGGTTAGAGATTAGGAGGCACTATTTCACTGTTAGGGTGGCTAGGATCTGGAACCAACTTCCTAGGGAAGTGGTCCTCACTCCTGCCTTGTGTAAATTCAAGAAGAGTTTGGATGAACACCTGTCCGGGGCCGCATGATCCCAGCGTGTGCTCCGGCCAGTGGTGGGGGGTCAGACTAGATGATCTATTTAGGTCCCTTCTGACCCCTAACTACTATGAAACTATGAAGAGCACTGGATCTCAAGTATCCCAGATGTTGTGAGGTCCAACTCAGGATGCCAGCTGATCTAGGAATTTTGCCCACCCAAACTATTTCCAAATTGGTGGGATTTTCTATTTTGGCTGCTTATTCCTGATAGTTTTCAAATGTAACCATCCAACATCTAATACAATTTTCCAAATTATAACCCACAGGAATATTTTGCAATTAAAATGTTTTAGGGTGAAAATAGACTCTTGGGGTGGTGATGTGAAGGGACATGCAGAAAAAAATTGTCTTTAAGAAGTGCAAATGGCTTTGCTACCTGTAATATCACAAATTCAAAACTTAACAAATAATCTTCAAAATGTAGTGGGGCCTGTATGAAAGGAACCTGACACTAAGCACCATACTGGTGAGTTTTTCCATTTTGAATTGGAAGATCAAAAGGGTTTGGATGATTTTTCAATCGCTGAAATACTTTGGGTGTAGAATACCTTCTAAAACTGTTCCTCTGAGCTAATTCATAAGTCATCTATTAAACTCATAGATTGCATGAATGTCAGCTCTTTATCTTGTAGGGTCACAAAAAGGATCATATGAAATATGCTTTACCAAGGTGAAAAATGTAATAGCAGTCATTTTTACTGGTACACACTCTGCAATGACACAAATTAACAAGTCATGCTCAGTGTTGTTTTACATTTGAAGAGGAGAAAGATAAACACAGCTAAAGATGTTTTGTTACAGAAAAAAGCCTGAGGTAAAGAAGAAAAATCAACATGTAACTTGATCTAAAACCCTGACCGATGGAAAATATGTTCAGTATACTAGGCCCTACTTGCCCCAGAAAACCAGCTTATCTAGGAAAAGGTTTGTTAAACCCAAAACAGTTCAGCTCTATTTAATGGAATTGTTAAGTAAATGCAGGGGATAAAAAGCAATTAGACCAAAATGACAGAGTCGGGTTTTTGTGCAGGAAAAATACAACAGATGCTGAAGATTCCATCTCCTTTCACACAGGAGTTGGGGTGTTAGATCTGGTAGCCTGCGGTAAAATTATCAGAAACTATATAACATGGGATTTAGGTTGCTAAGTCTTCATTGTTTTGTCTCTGGTAATACTCCAAGTCTATCAATCATATTCTGCTATGTAAATATCCTTTGCCATTTCTGACTAATGAGGTGCCCTTCACTTTATGAGGGCAGAATGGGGGATATATCCACAAAAGTAGATAGTTCATGACATTTGTTAGACACATTATATATTTTGGGATCCTTTAGGTTTGAAATGTCCTTGTTAAAATCTATGCCACAGTTGTTCTAAAATTGAAAAGAGTTGTTATGTGATTTTGCCTTCCAGTGGCAGCTACCAAAGAAAGTCTTTTGTTTGGAGCTGTGAGCAAAGCACTTCCTTGAGTGAACAGCCCTGGTAAGGCGGGGATAGGTGTCTGTGAAGATTATGAGTCATCTGACATCTTGTGTCTATTAAAGCTGAAGTTGTTTTGTCCTGTGGCATTGTGAGACGTATTTACAACCCATCTACAAAAGCATTGGGTAGTTTGCATTTGTAAGAGATTTTTAAAAAATGGCATTCTGTATTTTTTCAGCAAAACAAAAACACATTTGAGTTAGATACTGAAAGATCTGGTAGCCACAGACATCTACACAAGACATTTACTGTGGAGCTAATTAGCAGGGATCCTGCTTTTCTCCGATTTAAAAAAAATCCCCAATTTCTGGATTTAAAAATGTAACCCAAAATCCACGGTTTTCCAAGATTAAAATAAAGCACCAATAATATATAGATATAGATATATAGTAGCGTTTCATTTTAATTTCAGAAAAATGTGGGTTTTAGGTTACTTTTTTTAAATTCGAAAATTGGGGATTTTTTTTAAATCAGAGAAAAGCAGAACCCCTGCTAATTAGCTCCACAGTAAGCGTCTCAGCATCTACACATGTGGCCCTATTAAGCCACAGAAAACTAATAAACTCTGCATCAAGGTAGTACTTGTGAATATTAGTACTACCCTGCTGCAGAGTTCTTTTACTCTGCCGCACCGCCAATGTAGATGCTGACCCAGGTGGTTGGGGCACAAGGATGCTTCAGTGTTGGAGTTGACTGCTGGCTATCCCCATACTGGAACACCCCTGTCAGTCTCTCCACAGTACATTGAGCTGGGTTGGAGCAGCCCCAGGGGTTAGCAGGCTGACCCTTTGTCCCCCTGCCAGCCGGGGCTGCTCTGACCTGGCTCAACGTGTTGCAATCCTCATGCACATTCAAACAGTGCACCCAGGAGCAATAAACTCTGGTTCGATATGCACCAGAGTTTATTGCTTTGCTTTAATTGCACATGTAGATACACCCAAAATGTACAAGGCTACCTTCCTCTATTGTCACTGTGAATAACTCTCTAGTAAATAATAATGAACAGACTGCAAGTCTTTCTATGGACCTTCTCCCAAACTTTTCTAAAGGGATCTATGATACCACAAATTCATTTTAGTGCTGCAAATTTGATGTATTATGGGATTAAAACTGCTTTCCCATTTCCTAGTTTCTGGGGGCCATAACAATGACATGATTAATATCATTACCTTTTACATTCATAAAAAAGAGGTTTGTCATGAAAGATGTTATCCAGCAAAACTCACTTGGTCTATAATGTAATAATAATAATCAATATGAAGTATAAGTACTTGTATAAACACAGTCTATCCAAGGAATTCAAAACACTCTATGAAAATAATACAAAGCCCCCATCACCTCTATGAGGGATGTAAAAAATATTATTCTCTCTTTACTGACTGGCAAACTAAAATGCAGGAAAAGATTAAGGATATGCCCATGTGATGCAAGAGAGTGCTTTGCAGAGATAGCCAAGCTAGTTTTGCATGAACTGACTTCAGAATTGGAAGTGGTACACCCATGTTAGCCTGGCAGTGCTGTGGGAATGCAGCCGTGCTGCTTCTAGATCCAGAGCTTGTAAGTGCAGAGCATCATGAGAACTGCATGCTGCAACATAGACAAGGCATCATGAAAACATCATGGTGCTGCATGCTACAAGGTAGACATAACCTAAACCTGATTTAAGAAACATTTCTTAAAAGGAAGTCTGTTGAAGACCTGGGAAATAAACCTACATATCCTGACTTTCAATCCTGTGCTTCAATCTCTAACCCCACATATTGCTCTATTTGCTTAGACTCCAATATGATCCATCAGCAATAACCGGTAGTAGAATGTTCTTTCTTAAAACACTGGTTTTAGAAGGGGCAGTTCAGAAAGTGGTATAATGCCAAACACTACTAATTACCAGTTAGGAATTAGAGTGACTTGAAGACTCTCTCTGCCTGACCACTAAAACCAACACACAGGATGTTAAGCTACATTCCCTGCCCCCCTCCCCCATTTCCAAGACAGTGCTGGGAACAGGGCTGAGCTGTTAGTCCATCCCTGCTCCTGACACATACTGACAGACATTAACAGGTTCTTCACTTCCCCAGTCCCCCCACTAGTCCCAGGTTCATCCTTCTTCGACACAGATCTGCAGTATTCCTTATTAGGTTATACCAGTCCCTTGTACATTCATACTACCCATTTTTTCTGGCACTTCCTTGCCTGCACATTCTAGGATCTCATCTGGCTGCACCACATTGGCATCTCATAATTATCCTGTGATCAATTAGGATATCCAATTCTCTCCTCCTCAGTCATTTCCAAATGAAGAGCTCTCAGTCGACAGCAGAAGTTCTCGTTAGTCATCCCTACATGCAGGCGCTTGAATTTGTTTAATTGTTGAATTTCATCTTGTTTCCATTACCCCAATTCTCTAAGTTTTGTAGTTCTTTTGGTATGATTTTCCAGTCAGGTTGGGCTCATCTCTGTTATGGACAGAACATTTGGAGATAAGTAAGAGCTGATGAACAATTCAAAAAATAATAATAATAAAAGGACTGCAATCTCCCCTAGATCCAGCTCTTTAGCCCCCACTGAGACCAAGAGGGGCAAATGTCTTTACATTAAGGAAGTTTTCAGAAGTACTCCACATTGGCTTTATTCTCTATTGAAGCAACCGGTTCCATGACCTGAGGTGTAGCCCACTGCGTGAAGAGTTCTACTGATGGCCTTAGAAATAATGTATTACTCCATACGATCATGTCCTTTGGATGGGTGCTAAGAAAAAGGATCTTCCTCTGGGTTGGAGTTATATTACTTAGTATCTGTATTCCACTGGTGCTTAGAAGCTAGGTTTCAAAGTCCATTCTTTTAGATTACAAACTCTAAGTACAAGGCTAACTAGGTAAGGTAGACAACAGCTTTTCTACACAGTTTCTACATGGATACAGTTAACTTAGTTTGAATCAAAATTATTGAAATTGGTGCCATAACTTCTAATAGACTCTCCTATTTATTATAAATGGTTTACGTTAGTTTAGCTTAAATTGCTGTGTGCCCACCTAGGAAATTGTATCAGTTTAATTAAACCAATTTCGTTAAATAAATGCTAAATCTGTATAAACCACCTGAAAAAGACAACTCTGACCTGCTTCCCCACTGTCCATAAATTTATCGGTCTGTTAAAAAAGACTAAAAATGCTTGTGCGTAAAGTGTGTAGAAAAAAAAAAAAGAGCTGTCCAAACTGCAAGCTTGTTTGAAAAAATCCATTGTCAGAATGAGGCTGAATGCAAGTATTGATGGATGGACAGACAGAGCAGAGGAGTGCCATCTAGTGCCTCAGCAGGATTGCAGCTTAGCATCAGGGCTTGGTGGTCCACAGGAGCCTCTGTAGATAGCACCCTTCCCATCCCCCAGCCATGTGCTGCTGGTGCATCCTGTCAGCCATTGTCTGCCTGTAATGCTTCTCACCCAGAGGCAAGCAAGGCTTGGGTTTTAATGTTTGGCTATCAGGTCACTTTTGGCTGGTATAAGTGATACAGCCCCTGGACAGCATCCCTGGGTGAGTTTCCCTTCCTGACAGACTGGGCTAGCTGGTAGCTCCCCTGGATTGGTTTGCTAATGACTGAGACTATTTGGGTCCCATTCCATGTTTAATTATTACATTCTTCTCTAAAGCTGTGTATTTATCCCTTCGTGGTGAAGTTTGTTCACCTTGGAACACCCAGTAAAAATTTATTTTCCCAGGTTTCTGCATGGGGTTTTGAGCCAGATTTAGAAAGTTGGTGTTAGAACCCTAAATTTGAACCTGGTCCTTGTTACTGCTGTCCAGGGCCTGGTAGAAGGGTTACATTTACATTATGTAAAATGTATGTCAATAAAAAGTTTGTTTGTCAGTAAGAAAGAATTGGAGGGGGGTTGGCATAGAGAATCTAATTGGTTTACCCTAGGTTACATAGTAGATCCAGTGGCAGAGCCAGGAACAACTTCTAATTCTCATGGTATTCAATACATGCCCTTATCCACCAGTCCATGCTGCCTCCCTAATAAATGAGAAAATGAAGGGTAGAAAATGAACTTATGCATCTTAACTGAATCAGAGATGCATAAGTTTTCACAAGTGTAATGGGGACCCCACCCCATTACTAGGAAGGCTGGGAGGTTTAGGGTTTGCTTGCTCACACTGCTACCCCATCCTTCCCCTTTACTTTCTTTCTCTGCTCTCACTCTAGCCACTGCGGGAACAGCCTTTCCTGTTTGGTTCCCTAAGGTGGCACTCCCTCTTCCTCACCCCCGCTCTCCCTCCATCTCTCTCCCTATACACCCACTCCTTCCCCTTTACCTTTATCGTGTGGTTTGAGTTAATTGACACCCAGGTGTTGTTTCAGTTCATGCACAGGCTGGGGATGTGAACAAGAGGGCCATCGGGTCCAGGTGCAGATACAGCCTGAAGACTCAACTGGTGGAAGTGAAGAGTCAGGTGATCGAGAGCACACTGCATAAGCCCCTATCAGAATCCAGAAGGGGAGGCTGACTGTGGGAGCCACCAGGGATGGAACTCTTTCTGGGACCAAAGCCTCAGCTGTGGGGGGGAGGGGAAGGGGGCAGGGTTGACATAGAGCCCACCAGTCAGGAATGAGGTAAACCCCTGCAGGACATTGCTGTGTGCTGGGGCAGACACTAGCATTGTATACTCTTTGTTTTTTTTCCCCAGAGGACCAGGCTGTGGCTGAAGGACAGACTGGGCCACAGAAAGGGGTAACGGGGGGACTCCCTGAACTTTAAGTTCAGCCGAGCAGGCAGAGAGTAAGGTCTGGGATATGTTCTGGGGCCACTAGTGGTCAAAGGGTGAATATTACAAATTCTGGAACCTGGGGTCGCAAAGCATTACCAAAGCTGAGCCAGGAGCCAGCGGCCCTGAACAGTTAGCCCCAAGCTAGAGGGCGGGAATACCAAAAGGGAGGAGAGGATGAAGGGTATGGACTCTAAAGGCAGGCACTGTCAAATCCCAATTTCAGATTCAAGGCCTTAAAGGGTGGTGGCAGAGACCAAGATGCCTTGACCATTGCCCTGCCCAAATGACTATCAAAACTTTAACATACATAGGAGCTGAACAGCACCACCCCTCTGCTCGGGGCTTCCCAGTCAAGTTCAGGGAAGATGGTGGAAGCTCCTTGGCCTCAAAGCACAGCCAGATCAAATGATCAGTGCTTAACACCCTATATGGGCTGTCAGTCCCACCTTTGGCCCTGGGGAGGCTTGACAGATGTCCCTGTCAGCCAGTCCCAGATCCAGCAAGGGATTGTCAATACTATACCATATAGCTGATGGTCATTAGTCACCCAAAACAAAGAGATCGCCCTCAGGTGGTGCTCTTATTCAGAACATGAGGACCCACACCATTTTCCCCAAGCATATGCCACTTCTATACTGTGTAACAGCAGTTATGGCTGACAACGGAAACTGCCGGGGGGGGGGGGGAAGGGGGGGG